TTGAAACTGCTCTAAATCCAGCCGCCTAGGGCGACCATTACTGAGCTGCTGAGCTTTGCTAACAGCTCATTTATGATAACATGATGATAACATGTAGAACTCGCTGCCACTTTGCATGGCAGTCAACTGTACCTGACAGTCCACATAGTGCAGCAGAACTGTGCCTTAAGGGTGAGCAAAGGGAAGCACACCGCCGTGATCGCACACTCGTCTTTGTTACCGGTTAATCTCCGCAGAAACAAAAAGGTTCTCGAGATCTATATCTGAATTTAAATTGTCTGAATAGTGATAAAGAGGATCAGCAGACAGAGAAACAGAGGGGCAATGGAAAGAACAGTTTTCTTTGTTGGAAATTATGGTCAAGTTCCAGGCTGCAACTGGAGCCAGGCTGCTCCTGATGCCTGATCTACTGACGTAAAGCACATATCCCCTCTGTTTCCACTGCTGTGTTGGTGATAAAGCAATGATACTGCTCTCTGATGATAATCTACATATAAAAGCCTCATAAAAAACACATGTGCAGAAGGACCATGCATGACATGCCAGATGTATGACAGATTAAACTTTATACCATGACATTAAATCTGCTTGATTATGTGAAAACAGAATGTGTGTGCACAATAAGCCTGTGTAATGGATATGAACAATTTCAAACGATCAGCCACAACATTAAAAGCCACAGTGAATAACATTTATTATGTTGCTACAGTGGTCCCTGTCAGGAGGCAGGACATATTACATTTGGCAGCGAGTGAACAGTCAGTTCTTGAAGTTGATGTGTCGAAAGCAGGAAAAATGTACAAGTGTAAGGATCTGAGTGACTTTGACAACCTGAGACGGCTCAACGACTGGGTCAGAACATCTCCAAAATGGCAGAGATGATCTAGCAAGTAAAAAATGTTGGATTGTGACTATTTTGACTGAATTTAGTGGGAATGTTTTCCATCATAAAAAATCACTCAATCTGTACCAAAGAAGAAAGTGTGTGAATATGATTTATAAGCTGTTCTGTAGCAACACAATGCTTCATTTAAATTGTTGGGATACATTTTACCTTTGCGCTTTTGACAACATAAGTGTTCCAAGTGAACTGGTGAAGTGGTGACAGGGTCATTGATGCGCACTGGAAGCAGCGGCTGGCTGTGTGGTCCGATCCCAGAAAAGAGCTACTGCAGCACAAACTGCTAAAAAAACCTTAATGCTGCTGTGGTAGAAAGGTGTCAGATCACACAGTGCATCACAGCTTGCTGCGCACGGGGCTGAGTAACAGCAGACCAGTTAGAGTGACCGTGCTGACCCCTGTCCATCACTGAAAGCACCTACAATAGAGCAGTGGAAGCACACGGCCTCGTTGGACAAATAATGTTTTCTTTTACATCCCCTGGACAGCTGCATGTGTGTCGTTTGCTTCGGGAGGGGATGGAAACAGGATGCACTCTGGGAGGAGGGCGAGCCGGCAGAAGCAATGTGATTTGAGAACAAAACATTACTCAGGAGTGATTTGAGGAACATGACCAAGAGATCAAGGTGTTGATATGGCCTCCAAATTCTCCAAGATCTCATTTATCAGGGCTGTCCATCCATTATCTATACACCATTTAATCCTCACTAGGGTTGCGGGGGGGCTGGAGTCTATCCCAGCCGACTGAGGTCTATCAAAGAGCTTCATCTGGGATGTGCTGAAAAAATAATCTATGAAGGCTCTACCTCAAAACTTTCAGAATTTGAAGGATCAGCTGCTGAAGTCTTAGTGCCTGACACCACAAGAAACGTCTGTGAAGTTCATGCCTCGACAGGTCAGAGCTGCTTTGGTTGGCCTGAGGGGAGCTACACAGTCTTTGGCCGGAGGTTTTAATGCTGTGGCTCATCAGTTTATATGAATGCTCTGATGACAATCTGCATTTCTGGATCGTTTCCACACTGCTTGACAGTTGTACTATAATCTCACGCTCCATCATCCACACACACCTTTGGGTCAATCTGGGCTCACCTCCGTTAAATCAAACCAGCGGCTGGCATGTGATCATCTCTTCACCCACATTCTCACGATGTTTATCCTCCTCCATGATATTGCCGTATAGCGGAAACAATAGCTGTCCATATGGTGTTCATAGCGCGCATCTACAAAAGAAGGGCTTAAGGCGAAAAGGCACTTGAAAAAAGAAATAAAACCCCAAATGGATGAATATCCCTCTCCGCTTCCGCTCTCTTGGGACAATGCCATCCTCAAAGACTGGTGTTAACCTTCAGTGCACTTATGACTGACTATTAATGGTTGCTGAAGTGCCAGTGAACATTACAGCCCATCTGTTATGTAATGCTTTAGCACTAGAGTACAGATTACAATGACCATGTTCCAATCCCCAGGAATGGATAATGAATAAAGAACAGAGACAAAATGGAAAAGATAGGAAGGACAAAAGTCACTTTTACAAGGAGCCTGATAGTCTGGATGAGTGAAAAGAGGAAGAAGGAGGAGGAGGGAAGGAGCTCAGTGTGCAAACTAAGAAGGCTCGACACTATCAAAAGCTTGAGGGGAACTTTCTGTAAATGAAGAGAGGAATGAGGGCACTGATCCAGAGGTCAACAAAAGGGTGTATCTTTGAACACTTTTGGCTCTCTTGGCCCTGCAAGATAGCGTTTCGCGTTGTCGCAACAGCAGCTGGTGCAGTGGTGCTCATGAATCTCTGATCCAGGATGCACCTCGCAAGCAAATGATTCTACATCAACACTGGGAGACCACTGACACGAGTATTCACTGAAGTAGCAAATGAATAGCAGTTATGAGCCCATGAAACACTGAGCAGGGTCGAGGGGAACCGGCAGAATTAAATCATCACTACAATAGTGATCAATAGTTTTAATTTTTTCCACTACCAGTTTTCATTATCAATTAGTTTGCCCATTCTTTTATCAGCTGACCAATTATTCATTTTGTTAAAAGGCCAAAATGTAAAAAAAAAAAAGAAGTCCCAAATGATGTTTTGTTCAGCCAAATGGCAATCAATTATCGATCTTCTATCAGTCTGCTAATCAATAGCGGGTTGCTAACTAATCATTTCAGCAGTAGAGCATTAAACTCATAACGTTTTTTCATCTCTAATGATGCCTCTAAGAGCAAAAGCACAGCAGTTTTAGAAATGTCAGTATATAATAAACACATTAGATCTCTTACCCTAAAAGCAAACTTCTAGCTGTGCAATTCAGATGCTACAATACAGCCGAATCAAACGAGCCTGCAGATAGTGTGAATCAGAAGCACATTTACTTCATTTAGAGGTTTGAAAGTCATCTAATCACACTTGAGCTTGTTTTTATGAAGTGAAAAATGTGGAAGATCTGCTCCGTGATGGCTTTGAGCTTGGAAGCAGGCTTGATGGGTGGAATTATCAACAAGAAACGCTTTGGAGCTTTACTTTAACACACTTGTAAGCACTTTGGCAACACTGCTGCTTGTTAAGCTTTCTCCAGATCAAAATATTCGTCTGTAGCCAGCAAGGAAGAGGCGAATGCTTGTGGAAACACAGCTGCTGCATACTAAAGAGGAACCATTTGATCCAACAAAACCTAAATCTGTGCAGTCTATAAGCCTATTAGTCGAATGGCTGGGAGGTTTTAATCACTATCCTTTGTCTATAGGGTCCATTACCCAGAGACTGCATTATGGTCGCTGGCTACTCCTTGGAGGTCAGAGGTCAAAACACTCTCACAATGATGCACAGCCGCTTTATTGACTGACCATGAGGCGGGAAGTGAGCTGGTAAATACGTTCCACGAGCGAGAGAATAAATTGTTTGAAAGACTGCGTTGACAAGTCCGTTCTTCCCACTAGCCTCTAATTTAGATGAATACGCGATGCGATTATATTTATGAACAATTACACCCTGGTGGACATATTTCTCCGTTCCTTCGCGAGTTGAAATTTTTAAATAAAGCGAGAGTGACTAATATTGGGGCCGTGCAGAAGCAGTAATTGCAGCAGGAATAAATATCCTCCATTTTTCTTTATCTTTCATGTACAGAGTGTCTTCAAGTCTGCCGGGCAAATTAGCATAATGACAGAAAAAGTAAATGAGCGATGCTTCATGGTTCGACGAAATGGCCGCCCGTCTGAGGCGAATTGTGAAGGTGTTTAAATGTATATTGCGCGACTGCGGATTGACAAGCGAGGAGAGGTATTATGTCGTTTTTTTGCCTGCAGGCATTTAGTGTAATACTAGCTTTCACGTATCAAAAAAAATCTATACATGACAACCTGAGATAGAAACGAGCAGTTAGATGCATGCTAACATGGAAACCTGGCAATTATTGGACTGCTGGAGAGCAACAGGTGGCTAACAGACATTTTTACATTAAATGATACCCAGGGGGTATTTGCCAGCAAGAATGCCTCACATTTACGTAAAGGTAAATAGAACCTGCTACCATTTGATGAAAAGACTCACACAATTATCTACAATATTTACGACGGTGGCGGCACAAATATTGATCCCTACTGTGCATTGCACCCATGCTGTGAGCCACTGATTCGTAAAAGGCAGGCAGAGAAAGGTATTTTCAAAGACGGGTAATGTGATCTCGTGTTTGGCATCAGCACAAACAACAGTCGGAGGAGGGACGCAGCTTGGAAAATGTACCCAAACTGACATCGTGACTCTCTAACTGACGCGTCCTCCGAGCAGGCAGTCCCTCGCCTTTAATTCCCCTCAAAGTGCATTCCACATCTCACCCCGACTACAAACAACGAATCACTGTCAGGGATTGTTTTCTAGGTGTGGATCCACGGCAAGCAGAAAGTCGAATTTGCATTGCACCGCAGCAATATAATTAACCATGACTGGCCAGTCCACAGCCCTGGTGAGGACAGAAAGTGCCATTAACTTGGACAGAGAATGTGACTGGTTTCCTAAATGTAAGGAAGAGGTAGAGGGAGAGAGGGAGCAGAAGACGTCGAACTGCCCCTCCCATCCCCAGCTGTACATCTTAACTGCTTCACTTACTATCTTCTGCAGATGCTTCTCCTTGCGGACGTCCACCATGACCAGGCCCTCTTTGACCAAGCCGAGTCCCACGTCGTCCTTGGTGTCCCCGAACTGTATTGTGACGTGTGGGCAGGTGGCGCCCGAATACTCCACGTTCAACAGGCACTGGCTGTTCTGGATGTCCCGCACCACGCAGTCCACCACGTCGGCACGGGCGTCCTCCTGGAGAAGCAAGGAAAGGGTGGGAAGGAAAGAGGAGAGAGAGGAAAAACAAAGATGGAGGAGATAATGGAAGATAAGGAGAAGAGGGAAGGGAGGGAGAAATTCAGGGATAAAGGTGAAAGGGAAAATTAGTGCATTATCAGTGATGGCTCATGCACTGCAGGGGCTGACAGAAACACCATGTATGTGTGTGAACCTAAGTGTGATTTTAATTCTGATGGAAAGAAACACAATGTAGGAACACAGCTATACAAATCATTCACCAGCTGATCACAGTTTAATATTCACTCAGTACAACAATTATCTCCTCAACCAGTTCAAGACGTTTTAGTCTGGCTAAACTATCTAAAAGTCTGACTTCCCTCCAGCCTCCTCATCACTGGAGCTGTGGAGCTGTCTTCTCTTCCTCGGTTAGCCGGCTTCACCCTTTCTCAATCCTAACCTTCTCCAATGTGAAAGGCCGGCATTTGATTGAACATATGGCGGAGAAGGAGATAGAACAGCTGCAATGCGATCCTGACCTCGCGTCCTCCAGCAGTCAGGGTGAAAATGAGAAAAAAAAAAACAAGGGAGCCGCATCTTCAAAGGCAAGAAGACACTTAAAAACAAAAAAATCAGTCCCTGGCCATCATCCATCCCTCCCCTACACCATCCATCTCTTCGCTTCTTTCTCGCCCTGGTCTTGTCTCCATGGCAACCCCCTTTGAGCTAGCCGCCCTTGGGTATGTGCGTGTCTGGTGTACGTGTGCACGAGCAAGTGTGGGCAGGGAAGCTTGTTCAAGGCACAAAACTAAGGGCCTTTTTTGTCCCCGCTCTCCCCCCCGGTCAACTTGTCACAGACGCTGCAGGGAAGCTCAGGGCGAGGGAGAGAGAGAGAGGGAGAGATAATGTGTGACAGAGTGAGAGAGGGCCGGCGATAGAGAAAGACAGTCGACACAGAAGGAGAGAGAAAACAAGGGAGAGACTATTACAGAAGAATGCGTTGACACTCGTGAAGAGACAATACAAAATTAATGAGAGCCTTCCAGTGACCCGTTCTCATCCTCTGTGTGTAGAACAGACTGTTTTAAAGCCCTCTGATGCAGCCTAAAATGCTTTGCCTTTGCACCTCAGCTTCTGTACCGATATCAAAATACTCCTTTTTTTTAAAAAATGGCCTGCTTTGAGCAATATCAACTATCTGAACCTCAAAACCTGTGGGCAGGTTCAAAAGGTTGGGGAAAAAAAAAGAGGCAAAAATGATACAATTTATCAGAGCAAAAAAAAATGTAGAAACAAAATCTCTTTTGGTTTTGTTGGGAAAATAACCAAATATTAGCTTAATATTGTGATATTTCACTGAAATCACTTTATTCAGCATGTCTTTTGCAAAATGTGCAAAAAATAAAAGACTGAAGTAACCAGATTCTTTTAAAATCTTATTTTGTGCTGCTAGCCACAATCAAAAGGGATCGCTAACTCACTGCAAACAACACATGACAACATTTTAGGAACTTTTCAGCTGAACTGCAGGCTGTGTTTACACAGAGCAGCAGGAGACAAGCATGAAAACAAATACAAAAAGTAAGTAGTAAAATATCTGTAATATATAGTCACTTTTTTCCAGTTTTGGCAACATGCAAAATCAAGAGGTTCTTTTTTCATTTTTTTCTTCTTTTTTATCAATTATGGCTGTAAAATTCTGTATCCTGTGTGCTTTCAATAGAGCTGCAGTAAAAAAAAAAAAAAAAAAGAGCCCTCCGTGAGTAAAAATGTGACAATACAACTCAGACTTCTGAGGTGCATGTGGTCTTCACACAAAGCAGCTTCAGTTTTGAATAAAAAAAGACGGGTTGATGTGTAACGCCAAAGCTTTTTCACGCTTTTCAAGTGACCTTTACTGTAAAATGAGTTCATTAATTTATTTGCAATAAAAAAAAAAAAACAAATCTCTTGTTGAGAGCAAATGTTTATAAGACTGTAAAAATAATTAGCTGATGCATCTCCATAAATTATTGAGTAATCGGCGTAGTTCTATTTTTACCTTGAGTAAAGACTTTTAGTTGTCTATAAACCACTGCCGCTACTGTGGCACTAAAAAAAAAAAAAGAATTCCATTCATCGTGTTTTCAAGTGCACTTTTGAGAAAACTGACTTTGTGTCGGGCACAGAAATGGCACGGTGTCCTGAGTGCAGATAGCTGAGAATTCACGACATCCAAAGTAAAACTGGATAAAATATTGCAAAAAAAAATTGGTAGCAGTTTTTGCTCCAATTGAAGTAGCTGCTACAGTGAGATGTCATGAAAACAACATGTGCATTCTGGCTCCTATTTTGTCAAGTTACACAGAGTGTTTTTCCTCCCCCCTCCAAAACAGCAGAATAGTGAGTGTGTGCCGCAATCCTGACATGCTTTATTTGAAGATATTGTCACTTTCTGAAACAGCACTGGGAGGCAGCAGAATGATGTCATCCTAGTGGCAGGATTTTTGGTGTTAAGAAAAGAACTTTTGAAGACAGACGATGAAGACGTATGACTTTTGAAGACGAGACATCTTGTGCAGTGAATCAGGTGGCAGGTTGCAAGACAAAGGCGGCAACCTCTCCTATGCGAAGCGGCAAAAGGTGCAGCACGAGTGAGGTGCCACGCTGGCGGTGTCAGTGGCGCGGCAAAAGGCTTCGGAAAAAAAAAAGGAGACACATGAAAGGAAAAAATCACGAGAAAATGGAAAGAACAGATGCGGCGTGACAGGCAGAGTGAGTAGGAGAGGTGTAAGGTGCATGTCAGCTTCCAACATGTGGTTTTTTTGGGTTTGTGCGAGTATTTCATGCGTTTGGAGGCAGTAACATGTAGGTGATGCTTGTATCCCCTGGGCTGGACGAACAGATGGATCACTTCATCACTGACTCAGAGACAGGTGACAGCATGTACCTCAGTACTACCAGCTCACACGAACACACACAAAAAAAAATCCTAAATACAAAACATGCTCGTTCTTCTACATCGGCGGTTCTCAACTCTTATCTGTTTCTCATTCCCAAAGTGATAATGTTCCACCACATACAGTATTTCCTACAAAGGGGTTGCATGGTTTAAGTGTTACACAACAGCCTCTAAACTGACCACAAATATGAATGAAAGATGAACGAGAGCCGGATTTATTGGAGGACTGTTGTATCAGACTGCATTAACTTCTATCCAAAACAACAGCAAACAAACCAGTCAGGTCTAGTGTGTGTAATTATGTTAAACCTAGGAGCATATGACATTACAAACATGCAGATGCTCTGCACCTTATCTAGGTTAAGTGGAACGAAATCCCCTTAAACACACTCTCGAATGCACGCACACACAGCCGCTGAAGACGGGGCTTAGCGCTGCGCCAATCAGGCGCACGGCGAAAGACAACATGTTTTGTATCCGCGCAAACTATTCTGGATGCTGTCGACCCGCCTGACACTGATAAAACACATTCGCTCACGCACAGACAAACATGCACACGAGTGGTCACCGGAGGTTGAGTAAACACACTGGGATGTAAACTGGGGGGGAAAATAAAAACACAGTAGCTGCTGCTCTGCTACTAGATGGACATTCGTGTACACAAACACAAAGTACCTGGATGTTTTTTTTTTAAATCAATTTATGAGATGTGTGAGGTTGCTGAAGAAACAAAGTCTACGTTATCAAAGTGTTCATAAAACAACGTCTTAGCTGCTAAGTCAATTATTCTCAAATTTTATGCAAACAAGTAAATCAATGACTTGGTGTTTGTCATTGTTCTGTCTGCTTTGTACAGCATGCATTATGTATGAGCATAATTTTCACTAACACTCGCCTGGAATGAAAACTCAACCCTGTCTGTCAGTTCCAGACTTATCACCCTGTGCGATAAGTGAAGCTCAAACAGTTTTCATGTCTTGCCAGGAAAGTCAACTTTCAAAAGCTGGCAGAAAATGAGACTGAAGAAGCTGATATCTCAAAGTTAATTTTGAAGCTTTCAGCTGCGACACGTATCTCCGCCCGGCGCGTGTGCCCGTCTGTGCACTTACGTCCTGTGGGACCTGGATGAAGGCGAAGGTATACTCGGTGGCCTGTGCTGGCAGGGTCCTGGTGCCGAAGGCAGGAGGTATTACAGCCAGACGGGTGGACGACACAACTTCTCTCTGAGGGAGGATGAAGGAAGGACAAAAATAAGACCCAACATAGAACATTTTTGCAGAGTTTTTTCTGTCGATGATCAATCACAAGTAGACACTAAGGCATTTGGTTTTCTGCGTTTGTAAAACTAAGTGCAAATACAGTATCAGTGAAGTCAGTCCAGTGTCACTTTAAGGTCAAAGATATGAACTCTTTGGAAATTGTTTGGTTTACGAGTTAAAGATTTCTGTCAGGTTGTGTCCGTCATGTTCGAGCAAACACAAGAGATGTACATCTTTTGCTGTATCTCCAGTAAACAGAGGCAGATCTCTGGACAACTGGCTCATTTATTACAGTCATAAAGACACTTAAAAACAGAAATCTGTAACAAGGTTCCTAAAAGCTCATAGTCAGGGTTTGAGTTATATACATGTCTCAAATAAAAAGCCTCAGAGAGTCAAAGAGAGGCTGTACATTTATCCTTTAGACTGCAATGTATGTCTATTTGTCCTTGATTCTAAATCAATTCTGCAATCAGTATGGCACTTTAACAACGATAGTTTACAGCTGAACAATGGACAGATGCCATTTTGCGGCTCAAAAGCTGTGTACTTGCATGTATGTCAACTCACAATCACGTTACGGCTTTTCTACATCGGCCCTGAGGCTCCTCTTATTGAGCTCCATTTGTTCTCCAGCTTAGCTACAAGCTAAGAGTAAAGATGTCAATAGATGTCGGGTTGATAGTCGCCAGACTCTTATCAGATTAGAAGGCACAACAAAATGAGTAAGATGTAAACATGGCGACGGTATTGTGTGTATGAATACAATGGCGATCGAAAGGTTCTAACCTGTTTTAAAAAGCATGCAAGCTGAGAAACAGGTTTAAGGGTGTTGGATAAATTCAACAGCTTTTGTGAAAACAAACCACCGTAAGTCACAGGTTATCATTGATTCACATGTTACATGTCATGTAGTCGTGTCATCTGTTCATCTTCAATTAGTAACATGTTACCTATTTTCAGCACAATCATGGCTAGGAGCACTTAAACATGTCTTTAATGCAGAATGACACACTTATAATGCCACAAATCATAACAAAAGGAATAAACTTTCTTTGAGTTTTTATTTTACAAAAATGTTAGAAACCTGTAATCTATATGCACATTTTTTTTTTATAGTGCCTACAGATGTTGCTGCTATAGATATTTTTCTACTTACATTTAAAATTTGTTTTAATAATTATATCCTATCTGCTCTGTGTAGACACAATCTGCAGTTCAGCTTAAAGGCTTAAAGTTTTGTCCTGTGGCGTCGCAGCAGAGTCGCTCCGGACTTCACGACTTAGGAACAAAGAATTATGAGAATCACTTTTTTTTTTTTTAAACAGAACCTGATGCCAACCGCTTATTTTTAGGTAAAACTGTTAAATGAAACACATAGAATAACGGCATTTTGATGAAATATCCCAATTTTAGGCTCACAACTAGTCAAGATGAACAGTTCAAGGACTACTGGAAAGTCAGAAATCCACTGTTTCTCATGGTTTTCATAGTTTCTGACCCTGATAAATGGTGTAATGTTAGCGATTAAAAAGTAAATAACAATAATAATAACAACCCCCTCAAACTCACCGGCAGGTTTTGGGGCTGAGAGAGCTGGACTGTCGAACCTTTCAAAATGAGTCGATGGAACAGAGTTTTGTGTTTGCTGTCGTACTATAAATGAGCTGCCACTCTTCTGAATCTCTTTGAGAAAGATACTGGACATATTCTGCCTTTCTCTCTGTTGCAATAGATCAAAATTTACCAACGACACAGCAAAGTGTTTCTTGTGTCTGGTGAGGTCATAAGAGTCATATCAGTTGTTCTTTTCAATGACATTGATGTCTATCTGCATCAGTTTGCTTTGTGGACATCTCCAGTGCCACATCATAGTGTTGTCTGCACATTTATTCTCATTTTGTCTTTGGCAATAGATAGTGGAAGTTCAGCACTGCTAAACAATCTGCACATATGAAAGCTATGTACAATATTTCGCTGTTATAAATCAAGAAAATTGACAGGGGTAAGCTGATGCGAACAATGGCCAATCAGCCATCACCACAGGCTACACCGCGCTGGGAAGTCAGACAAATACCACCATTAGAAGTGGGAAGTTAATTTAATGACCCCCCATATCTTAGGTTAATGTGTTCATTGGACTGAACAGTCTAGACAGAGAATACCTTGAACATTTATTATGGCTAAAACGTTAAGATTTATCTACGCCATATTAGACTTTGACAGCACTGTAAATGTGGGCTTTAAAAAATGAAATGACAAAAGTGCTCTGCTGTGTTTGCTAATGATCCCATAATAATTCAGGTACTGACCTGTACCTGGGAGAGGTGGCGGTATTATCAACTAATAGCTCATGACACAGAGCCATGAAATCAAGGCCAGACTGACTCAACCTGAAATGACGCAAAACTACAAAGAATGAGGTAGATATCAGCTTGATGTTTTTTCCTGTGTGCCAGGTCGGCCTCGGAGAATCACACTTTCAGCAACATGCCAGGACGAATCGCGTCTGCCAGCCAACCCTCGATCTGTCCCCCACTCTGAGGTCAGTCACACACTGTGTGCTCCACTGCATCATGGGAAATCTCCCGCAGGCTGAGGGTTGGTTGCATGAGCCACTTGGTGATGCAAGCATGTGTGTGCACGTGGGCAGACACAATAACGCACTCGCAAGGATATAGTGCCTTCGTCATCATGGAGTAGTACAAAAAAAAAAAAAATACAGAGAGAGAGAGGGGGGGGGGGAGTTCTGGTTTTGTCATGAAAAGGAATAAAACAATACTCTCAGATGCAGTATTTGATTCAGTACTAAACAATAAAAGGAAAACAAACAAGCTAACAATGTTTTTGTCCTAAAAAAAAAAAAACAACTGAAAAGACAGATAAAGGCTTCTTTGAACACAAAAATAAGAAAACAGCTGGTGACTTAACAGATGCAAGAAATGAAGAAGAAATCCCCCTAAAAATCCCAGACTGCTTCCAGTTATGGGTTTGGCCATTATACAGTTTTGCTTCTGTGTGTGTGTTTTGATCCCCAAACAGCATCATGATGTTTTAATGAAGGCACTTTTTCATCGCACACACACACAAGTTGCGTTTTCATAGAATTGTATGAGGCGAATCTGCAGTAAAAATACCGCAGGTTGGAGTGTCGTCTGAAGGTGGCGCTATACAGGCTAGGTCGCGAAAACAAAAAAAAAAAATAGTTGTCTGCCAGCTGCTTAAATGCGTAGCAGAAAAAGAAATGAACAAAACTTTGTTGTGCAGCGAGAAACAAATTGAGAGAAGTTCTCAGGAATTTTTGTTTCCCCATCGGGAAAGTTGTAATTATTCTTTCAGGTCAGCTGGCATTTGACATGTTTCATGCTGTTTAGAGGCGCAGACAACTAAAGCAGAAACAGCCAGTCAGTCATCTGAGTTAAATGGTTGGTACTTATTTGAAAAAAGTGTTTTCATTCACTCTTTTTGGATAATATAAAACAAAAAAACACACCTCAAGGGAGAGTAAAAACTGAATTGTGGCATTTCAGTTAACTTGTTCTAATGTCATGTCAATATGTGCATAAAAATATGTTATGGAAACTACACGCTTAATTATACACACAATCAAACTCAGGTCACAAAGTTACTCACGTTGCCATAGTCGATGTAGAAGACATGAACCTTTGCCGGTGACTCAACTTTCTCCACTCTGGCTCTGTACCTGCAGCAGCAAAAGAATAGTTGAGAGAGAGAGAGAGAGAGAGAGAGAGAGAGAAAGAACAGGGAAACAGAGATGAAGACAGAGGGCACAAGAGGAAAAGGAGATGAGTAAATGATTCTGTGCTTATTTCCCTGGGGAGGAGGTGTTGGAGGATCTGTCTGCTGTGATCGGGGGAAGAGGAGCTGGAGAGGATGAGCAGGCCGGGGGAGTGAGGTGGGACAGAGGGGATCTATCAGGACACGGCAGGGCTGCGAAAATTGCACAGAGGCCTCCTTGCAATAAAAGACTGAAATTTAAACCTATTTTTGCCTTGTAGCAAATAACTTTAGTGCATTAGCGCTAATCACAAAAACCTGACTGTTTCACTTTTCGATTTCGCTGCACATTTGGCGAGCTGCATTTGAATGGAAACAAACTTGGTGTTACAAGGACGTACCAATCAGTGACAAATGGAGGGGGGGAAAAAACAACATAAAGTGCCTGAGTAATGGCCAAATCCTGCTTATGATCAGAAGCTACAAAAAAAAAGGCAAGCTTTCCTCACACTTGATTCAGTGTGTCTCTTCATCTGACCATCACTTGTTTGACTTCTAGCTCAAACAAACAAATGAGAGCGAAGAAGAAGAAGACAAACTGGCTGCAGACCAAGGACAGCAGGAAAAAGCCAAATAATTAGTCCCACATGGACAAAGACAGAGACAAGAGAACAGACTTAAAACCGCATAAGTGATTAACCGGAAGAAATAAAGTACAGCAATGAGTGCGAGGAGCAAGAATAAGAGGGAGCGAGAGACAAAGTGTGAGAGACTGATGAACAGAGGTTCTTTCTTTTCTATTCACTTTGACTCTGGTGTTCTGAGAGGCCTTGAAAGGCGACGAATTTCTAATCAGCCACCGAATGAAACAAGCCGACATTCCACATGCATCACAGAATACTAAGATATGGACACAGACCAGTGGAAACATGAACATAATTAGCTGGCTGAATAATATGGAACAAAAATCGCAGACATTTGCCACCTGGAGCAGGATTCCTGCTTTTCTTTACAAACAACAGGCTAAAGAAAGTGAAGGTTTACACCAGATGGCCTGTTTAAAATGCTCACTGATTTGTATTGGTGGCCAGGACAGGAGAATAACTTTAGTTTTGCCCTCAAAAACCAGGACAGGAAGACAGAGGGAAGGATGGAAGAAAGAAAGAAGGAAAGGACAGCACCTGTGTTGGGTGAACATTTGGTTTTTAATCAGTTTCTTGATCTTTTTTCACCGTCACCTTCTTGACAGACTCTCTCTCTCTCTCTCTCTCTCTCTCCCTCCCTCGATCACTGTGACTTCTATCTGTCCCCATGACCATCTGTAAACTTCCAACATCCGGTGAGGTGACGAGATGAAGAGGTGTGTATGTGTGTTCCTGTCAAGCAACTGCTGATTCTAAGGGGCTGAAGCAGTGGCAGTGAGCTAATTACACCCTGTGGGTGTCTGCAGTCAACGAATCACAGGCTTAAATAGAGACAAGGTATAAATGAAATGTCAGGCATCCCCGAGAGGAATACCTATATAGCACATACTGTATGTACCTCACCAAATTGTGTTAAGTTTGTCAGGCCAGGCTCACACTTTACAAGTTTTAAAATCCTCACAGATTTGGAAATCAGGTTGCATCACACATATAAAAAGAAACTTCACATGTACCTTTCTCTTTAATCTCAGATATGAAAATAAAAGCACATCACACACTATAGGATAAGATTATCATGCAGTGCATCAAACCACATCATTCATTTCATGGGGAAGTAGATGTAAACAAAATGGAGACTGTGGAGCAACACCTTGCTGTAACGTTATTTTACATTGACAAAAGCTGAAGCTACAGTTTGGATAAGAACATGAGTGGAAATAAGCAGCCAACATGCTTTTTGTCTATTAGAGGTAGGATTAGTTTATCTATCTGTAGCTAGCATTAGCCCCTCAAGCGAGTAGTGTTGTTAGGTAACAGTGTCTGCTGTTCCAGTTGGTAGCATGATAATCATATGTATCATAAATATTGAACATGTTTGATACGGTCACTGTGGCCCAAATAAGTCTGCGAGCAGTTTAAAAGGTTTAAAACTGGATCTGTAAACCTCTAACAAATATTCAGGGTTGAACACTATTTCAGGGAGGTGAAAGGGGAGCATATCCTCCCAAAACTTCTGTCGTGAGAGTCTGGCTTTAGCAGCTGTGGTCAATTTCTAGGATTGATAAATCACAGCTGTGCAGGTGAGGGATGCCCAAACCAAGTTTTCTCCTCAGGGTGTCTGCAATACTTGAGTACCAGTAATTTGTATGTATGTCACAGGGATTGCTGACCCATGGCAGCTGAGTGATTGTATAAGGCAATGATTAAAAAAAACACTGAATATGGATCATTCACATCCACTACATAACTTTTCTTATCAGTGTCAATACAGATCTGGTGGTTCAAAGCATCTCTATCTTTTCTGTTTGAGATTCAGTTCAATTCATTTAAAAAAAAATAAAAAATAAATACATATACAGCACCAATTCACAACCCACAAAGTCATCGCAGCGCTCTGCCCATAGAAAGGTCAAGACCTTACATTATTATATTATAAAGAGCAAACTACCAAATCCAACAATTCCGTTTGAGCAAGCGCTTCGGCACAGTGGGATTTAAAAAAAAAAAGACCCCTTTTTAACAGGAAGAAACTTGTGGCTGGTGGGGCGAAAGTAAAGGATAACAGAGAGAAATGGACACAAGAGAACAATAAGCACTGGGGGAAGCTGGAAGGCGAATAACCACAAATCTGAAATATGCGGCTCTGGAGACAGAGATTCAGATTCAGAGCTCAGTTTCCAGACTGATAGTCTAGGGCTTTGCGATGTAGTTAAGTATCATAAGAAATGAGCTGTATGCATACCATTCACCATCAGCAAACTTGGCTATGCAGTAGTCCCCGCGCCGTGCGGAGTAGGATCCTTCCACGGGCGGCTGGGCGGCGATCTCTGCTCTCATGGTCTCCATCAGACTCTCCAGCTGGCCCCCTGATGGAAACACAGACATGGATGAGAATCATAATTCAATTCACAAATTTTTAGTGTGATTACAGTTTTTGTTCATTTCTTCAAATTGCATTTCATTACATCACTATGACCCATTTTCCTTTCACTTGAACATTGGTGTGTTTGCTTCCTTTTCTCTATTACCATCTAATTCACAATATGCATTTCCATTCTCCACAGAGAAGTTGTTGAATGGTAAACTATAGTGTGTAAAATGGATCTACAATCCCATTTAAACTCTCTACAGCAAGTCGTCTCTATGGAGGTGCAAGTACTTAGCTTTCATTTGCATGTTGGCCTGCATGTGACTGACAGAGGCTGAGTCCTGAGGCAGCAGCAGAAAATGAACACGCTTGTATCTTACCCCATGCAGAGCTCCTAAATAGTGCTTGAATATAAATGAAATAAAGACTGACGCAGCTTCGCAAAGCATGACTTGGCTTCTTGTGTGCAGACACAGACTGAGAATTCTTCTGAGGGTGGTTTGTGCTGTTTGTAACTGAATGGGGTGCAACTCCTAATAATTATTCTGCCTTTTGTTATGAATGAATTAATTACGTTATTGCATGCTTTAGCATAATAAGACACTCGAGTTCAAGTTAAATGGACTCACTGCCTTGGAGAAGATATTTCATGCATTAGTTCAAATGTACAAAAACAATACAAATCTGTGTTGGTGGAACAAAAGGAAACTTGTATAAAGCTTTATCTTGGTATTGAAAGAAAGGCCAATGTTATTCAAATTCCCAACTTGTGCCATTTCCAGCTAATTAATCAAAGTTTCACATACAGAAAGTATCTTTCAATTTCTCGCCAACAAAGATAGTTCAGTTCACCCTGGCTGTATAACCTCTGGTTTTAGCCCTGTCCTAAACAGGCTGGTTCAGTGTCTGTAGCTTTAAGTGTCGCTAACCTGCTGCTATCTACGCCCCCTTCAGGAAGAAAACTCTCCAGGTCTGACAACAACAGTTGACCACACAAATATGTAATGAGTGTGTGAGATCAGGACTTTCTATCGCTTCTAACTTTCCCTCTGAGTAATCATTTTAAACATCACCACATTCATAGCAGAGTCGTTTCTTAACTCATGCCTATGGTGAATTTGTCAGCCAACATAGCGGCTGTAAAATTAGTAGTTTAGCATCGCAGAGCAGCAGCTTGGAAAAGGCTATGAAGTGACTGCTTGTAAATATGCATTCTGAGCTGCATTTCAGTTCACTTCGTATTGAATCTATTGTCCAACAACTGAAACTGAAAAATATGTGAACAAGAGCTTTATTGGGAATCTGGCTGTATTAAAATGCAGAATATGTGAGCACAGAGAGAAGGAGAGAAGCAATCAGCACAACAAACGATATGAAAACACAGTAACGCACCCAGTCCTTGTTTATCGGTTTGAAATCGATTCTAAAGTTTCTACCATCTCTGAAGTTCTCTCAGCGTTACATATTCCACAGAACTATAACCAGTCAGCATACGATCAAAGCTAATGGCAATGTTCGCATCATTAGCTGCACCAAGGATTTTTCTATTGTTATGGTGACACTGTCATCTAAAGTAATCCACTGAACCTTCAGCTCCTCAGATGCTGGGAGTGCATGAATACTCTTGTGTTCACTCTTGAAGCCATAAGCAGAACATTTGGTGGGCTTTGCATATGGCCGACACAATTAAGAGTTAGCAGAAGCAGCTCTGGAAAGTAAACAAAGGTAAATTTGACCAAGACCACTACTGGTTCCTCAGATAAACTGCATGAGTAAAATTCTAAGTGGCTTGTAAAGCTGAGGGGCAATCAAGTTGTGGGGGGTCTTAAGGAATGGCAGACAACAAAATACACAAAAAATAATATATTTTTTGTTGCTGCTAGCCCTTTAGCTTCATGCAGTTCACAGAGGTTTGACTCTGTTGGAGAAACAGAGCTTTGAGTAAAGAAGCTCATCTCACACAGGGTCTTTATGGCTTATCAAGCCATTGTGTCATGCGCGGCAGACCTATCATGACCGATTCAAGGCGAGAATGTGGCTGTCGATATGGTGAGATTTGGAAAAATCAGAGTGCGAGGCTGTGCTTCATGGATCCAGTGTCTGCGGTAAGTGGCAGCCTGATTTGCACTCATCAATTGCAATTGGGAAGCTGATTGTGAACACCACTAAGTATGTGCATCTCCAAGAGAGCCACTTTTGTGGTGTTTGTGCAATATGTACGATATATTTGTTTGTGTGTTACGGAATATGTTTATGCACACATGCCTATTAGTGTTCGCAAGTGGCTGCGTGTTTGTGTGTGGAGCGGTATGAAGTGTGTGGAAGCAATTACAGCAGCTAGTTTAGTAAAGTGGCCCATATGAATTTCCATGGTGGTATTTTTAGAGGCCATTTTCACTGATATGCCACCTGGAGGGGGTTTGTGGGCAGGAGGGCCAGAATCATGTGTAATGGAGCATTTTTAACCACATAAATTCATAAAACAGAGGAGCAAACTGAGGCAAAAACAAAGCCCCATTACATGGAGAGTATAAATACAAATATTTAAGACAATAAAGGGATGATGTAAAAATAGTGCCATGACAGTTTTGATCAAATACTGTTATATAACATGCAGTAAAAACCTATTTATACAGTCCCTGCAGTCAGATGATTATATTTTGAGCAAGAAACAAGAATGAGAAAGAAAAAAAACCCCACATTTTTGGACCACCCTTTGAGTTGGTTCAGTTAAACTTGTTGCTGATTGCTCGTCACAGCATCCTTTGGCTGTCAATCACAGTCTGCCAATCATCACAGGAGTTGGACTGTTTACAGATGTGGGAAACATGGCACTTAGCTTAACCTCCTTCACTGACTGAAAATCAAAGTTAGAAAAACGTAGAACCTGCTTGGCCCAGCTAAAGTCTAAACGAGCTAAAAGCAGGATTGTACTGTCACTGTAAGGCTCAACCGTTTAGCTCGCTAGTTAAACAGGATTCATCTACGGAGAAGGTAAGTTAGCGAAGAACCCGAGTTAGAGTCGGCATAGTGCGATGTGGCCGTGCTGCCAAATCTCACGCGCTGACCGTGAGACTCATGCAATTGACACTGTTCACATGCTCTCACGCCACATGTCCATTTTCTCATGCAGTGAAAAAATAAATTCATAACTGTTAACATCACAGTGTGAAACGGGGACACCCACAGTGCACAGACAGACGAGAGAGAGCACAGCGCAACAGTAGCGAGTTAGTCAGAATGTCGGCTCTACATAATGTTTTCATAAATATATTTTCAATTACGATCCACCGCAACTATACTGTTCTTGATTGTTAGTTTTCATCAAACCCTCAGTTGAACTATGTCAGACTGTGGGATCATTTTACTGCAATATAAAGTCCTGCACCCCTGTGGAAACAACACAACCATGACCAGAAGAACTGAAATGTCATAAATATTATAAGAAACTGATTTGAATTCGTTGGGTTTAGCTGCCTTTGTTTTTTTGGAGTCTTCATGTGCACTATTTTTCTAAGTACCCAAGTGTTTCTAATAATTTGAAGTAGTTTCCATAGTTGTCTTCTATCTGCTCAGAGTAAACACAGCCTGCAGTTCAGCCCAAAAAGTCCCTGAGTTTTTTATTTTTTTCATGTGATTGTTGGTCACAGCTAAATGACTAATAGCTTCAAGGTGGCAAATGTTTAACTTAGACATTTAGAGAAAAATTATTTTGATAAAATGTCACCGTTTTGAACTCCTGACTGAACAGCATGTCACGGATGAATGGTTCAAGGACTGTCTGAAAGTTCAGAATTCAACTATTCTTTCTGTTTTTACAGATTCGAGCTCTGGGGTCTTTTTTTTTCTTTGCCTTTTAAACCCACCAGTAGGTTTTGGGGTTCAGAGTGTTAATCAAAGTAGTAAAGTTATGTAAAAATGTAGGAAAAATCTTTATTCTAACAACCCCCAGATCAAGTATTTTAAAACTTGCTCCTGCATTTTATGACCAGGCGTCGATGTATACATACACTTCACCAGTCTTTAAACCAATATATATTCGCTGTATTTCTGCAGTAACCAGATTTGAACCTAATGTATAAAAAAGTCAGTTTCTGAACATAGTCAGCACAGCTTGATTTCTTCCGGACAAATGCTGTTACTTGGCCATGTGGGTTTCTTACAGGGATGATTACAGGTTGCAAATGTGCTTTGTGCTACAAAGACCTGAGAATGGGAAAGCATGTCTGCTGCAGCAAGGCAGAGAGATACAAAAATCAATCTTAAAGTCATAGCGTTGCATCTTTGTATGGAAAACAGTTAATCCCGAAGCTGCAGGCAAGAAGGAAATAACTAATATCTGGGGTATAGAGAACCTCCCAATCTTTTACAAAAAAATGTATGATGGAAAAAAAACAGGTTATCTCTGAGAAATATGGGAACCGTGGAACAGTTTTCTACTGTCAGTTGAGCAGTAGAAAAAAGGGGCAGAATTCAAATATGTACAAACAGTAAGAAAACACTGTGTGCTCTCACACTGCAGAGACTGTCTTCTCACTGCATCTTTAGTCCAAATGACCAAAATAAATTATAAATTCAAGCTGCTGCTTGATGCGTCACTGATGCATTTGAAGCACGCCAGCCTTGGGTAAAAACGAGATAGAGGAGAAGCCTCGTTTCTGACCACGAGCTTGTACCAGGTTATGGCAGCAACATGTTTTCTCCCACTAACCTGTTTTCTTGCGTGCGAAAGTAAATGCAGTCGGCGCGCCTGTCGGTGTGCAAAAATTAGTACGTTCTGCTTACTATGCATGTTACTATCAAACAAACAGCTTGGAGGCAGGCGCTGCACACACCTTTCTACTTCTGTACTGCTGCTGTGAGTTGTCATTAACACCTAATATTATTTATGCTGGTGGAGAACAAGAAAATATAAATAATGATGCTGTTTTCCCACGGTTATCTGCGCTGAGGCAGGCAGGCAGCTGCCAACCAACGGCAGACAGGAAACCTTCATTT